GGCAGTGACCTACAACCAATTGTGACTTTTCAACACACACACACACACACACACACACAATATCTATTTCCAGGTACATGTGTGTTGCCCCAGCTGTGGGCAGGGGTTTTTTCTTAGATTCCCATAGAGTGATATGCCAACTCCAGGTTTACTAAGAAGGAAATAATTTGTTATTGCAATAACGGAAAACAAGATAGCTAGTATTCCATAACATTTAGCAGCTAGCTTCTTATCCCTGCATGGCAGGGACTTCTGCAAGGAAGGACTCCAATCAGCAGGGCTCAGATAGAAACAGCAAAATCCCCCTCAAAAGTAGTCTGAACCAGAGCACAAAGACAGTGACCAGCTTTTACAGATCACAAAGTTACGGTATTCAGTGCATGCATACAGCATCCTACACAATTAAAGATATGATTACTAGAGTACTTTTGATACTACTATTTACACAGGTGCTAAGTAATGAAGTACAGTGAGCTAGTAAGGAGCTTCCATCTTTGTCTGACATCAAAGCATAGGCTCATTACTGCTTCTTGCCTGCAGAAGTAATGTCTGATAAGGATCATTCAGGGTTGCAGATGTGGGGTGCAAGGTCCTGGCCCCATCTTAATATCCAAGGAGGGAGACTCCCTAGTTTCATGAGAGCAGACTGTCAGGGGAATGCTAACTAAAGGGGAATGCTAACTTTATTCAAAAGTTATTTTAAATGTTAATATTATTTATTCATTTTATTCTTTGGCCAGGGCAACTTAATTTATATTGTTAATTTATATTGTTTTATTGAATTCTATGTATTTATGGTTGTGAGCTGCTCCGAGGCTTCGGCAAATGGGGCGGCATAGAAGTCCCCTAAATAAATAAATAAATAAATAAATAAATAAATAAATAAATAAATAAATATTTATTCTATTATACTATTGTAAACAACTAGACTTTAATGCCAAGCAATACAAGCATTTTAAAGCTCTAGAGATTCAGGCCTGGCTTTTGGGGGTTCAAGCCTGTTATCATGTGCTTGATTCATTTATATATTTTTAAGAATACACCTGAAAACAAAGAATTCACACCAGCCCTTGCATGTAAGAACAGGTTTGGCTCAGTGTATCACAAACTGGAGGAATAACAACCCTTAAAGCAAATGTCACTATTGAAAGGATGAACAAGCATATAAGCAAAACATTTTAAAATGCACCAGGTATTTATTACCAGGTGTCTCCAGGTAGTTTCAGTGGTAGCCAGCAAGAATAGCCACTAATGGACTTGGCTACAGAATCAAGTGTTTAAAAACATACCTGCAACTAGAGCACCTCTTTCAAAATAGTGTCAGGCTACAGTGTAAACTAGGACACATCAGTCCCATAGGCTGAAGGGGCTTGCTACAAACACACTGCATGCTGTCTGTCCCTCTCCTATAAACACCTCTTTATAGGCCTTAGGTAAAAAAAGAGACTCACCGAATGTTTCTGGCTCATAGAAAAGATGGCTGGCTACCAAGTCTGGTCATAACTAGTGCCTGCTAATCAATGGCACAAATCCACCCTTCTTAAGTATATGGATTCAGTGCCCAACAGTGCCAATTGCACTCAATGACTCTTTGTACTGTCTCATCTCTTGGCTGTCTAGCATGAATTTTGGTCAAGATGTTTGTACAATATCTTTCAACCATCTTTTAAATTATACTTTAACACTGACTGGGTTGACATGACTGGCAGCCTATGGTGGGTACTCAGCCTCAGTTGGCTGCCATGTCATCTGAACCCAGACCACTTTCTACAAGTTTTATTTGGAGGCAACAAGCCACTCTGACAAACCATGGTTTCTTCTAGCAGTTTTTCAACCCACAATGGGTTGTCCTATGAGCCTGACAGACTATTCCCACTGTGTGTTGCTGGGTGTGACTCGTGAGCTGCTCCACAAGAGTAGCGAACACCACTTGTCACTGTTACCTGCTAAACCTTCCCGTATTGGAATGAGACTTACACATAGGCTCAAGTCTACAGCTTTGTTCCTCATTGGTACTCAAGCAATTCGACTGCTCAAATTGCAGTTAAGTGGATTGTAAAAGATCAGGAACCCACGGAGAGCACCTTAAAGAAAAGGCCTGAAATACTGCTGTATTCCTTTTGAATAATGCATGCAGAGTATATTGGTGACTATTAAAGCATTGTCTTCCCTGCCAGCTTTTGCCACTGAGGATTATGAAATTGCAGAAACAGCATACTGTGGCCCATGCCATTCTGTCGCTGGCTGCACATGATGTACCCAAAGCAAAAAACGTTTGC